CTGACCATCGCTCAACGTGGATACAGGGAAAGGGGATTCGGGCTTCCAAGGCTCTGCTCGGAAACACCTTGCAGACAACAGCCACCACCTCCCTGCCTCAAGAACCCAGGACAGGCAACTTGGCAGGAGTCCCTCAGGGCCAGGGAGCTCCTCCCCATTCTGAAGACAGACTGGAACTGAGGCCCACCCTCTTCCACCTTTCCAGAGACCCTCCAACTGAGCTCCACACCCCCCAGATGGAGGGCTCCCCTAGCCCCCACAGCCCCAGCATGCAGCTTTGTGTCTACCCCTCCTGCCAGCCACACCCCGCCCCTTCTGGCAGAACCCCCCACCCAGCAGCTGGGCCCTGTATCTGCAGGGAACTGTCAGGGAGAAGACAAGGGTCTGGCAGACACTGTCCCTGGCCAGTGCCCCCAGGTGACAGAAGGGGGCCCACCTGCTCCTAGGGATACACTGTCTGTCAGGGGGTCCTGCTGAGGGGCGTCTGTCTTCTCTGTATTTGCCCACTTTCCCTCCCTCCCACCTCAGGCCTCATCCTGCCACAATTTGTTCCTTTTAGGCTTTGAGTAGCCCGGCAGCCCTATGAGGGGAAACCCGCCTACGAGTTGAAGCGAAGCTGGTGCAGAGGTAGAATTTTGCACATTCTGATAAATTACAACATCTTATATGTTGCAAAGGAAAATGCCTGAACTTTTCCATAGAGTGAAGACCTAATAGGAAAGTTTCTCAGAGCCTGTGTTTACACATGTATCTGTTAGTTAGGCTGGAAGGGACAGCATAGATTTGACAAATGGTGTACCATCAAGGATGTGGAATTAGATGCTAAACTGAATCCCACCTTGGCTCTCTTATGAGCTGTGTGGTTAGGCAAGTTACGTTTGTTCTCTCTGTGCCTTTTTTTTTTTTTTTTTTTTTTGAGAAGGAGTTTCGCAGTTGTCGCCCAGGCTGAAGTGCAGTGGTGTGATCTCGGCTCACTGCAACCTCTGCCTCCCAGGTTCAAGCAATTCTCCTGACTCAGCCTCCCAAGTAGCTGGGATTACAGGCACACACCACCATGCTCGGCTAATTTTTTATATTTTCAGTAGAGATGGGGTTTCACCATGTTGGCCAGGCTGATCTCAAACGCCTGACCTCATGTGATCCACCCGCCTCAGGCTCTCAAAGTGCTGAGATTACAGGTGTGAGCCACTGCACCTGGCCCTCTCTGTGTCATTTTTGCAAAGTGAGGATGATGATACCTTTCTTAATTGTTAAGAGGATTAAATAAATTAGTATAATGGCAAAACCGTTGGAAGAGGGCCTGCCATATAGTTCGCTTTCTTTTTTTTTTTTTTTTCAGTCTTATTTTGTCACTCAGGCTGGAATACAGTGGTGCAATCATAGCTCACCTTGAACTCTTGGGCTCAAGCCGCACTCTCACTTCAGCCTCCCAAGTAGCTAGGGCTGTCAGATCATGTTACCACGTCCAGCTAATTTTTAATTTTTTTTTTTGTGTGTGTGTGTGTGTGCGCGTGTGTGTAAAGACAGGGATCTTCCTACATTTCCCAGGCTGGTCTTGAACTCCTGGCATCAAGCAATCCTTCCACCTTGGCCTCCCAAAGTGCTGGGAGTACAGGTGTGATTCACTGCGTCCAGCCCTAGTTGACACTCTATATGTGGTAGGCATTACTACGAGATGTTCAGATACCTCATAAATAAGAGTGTCCTTTTATAAAACTTTACAGCATACACTTATGTTCCATTTTATCTTGTCTTCCCTAGAGATGAGCCAACTGAGCAGGAGACAGTGTAAGCAGCTGTGGGGGTGTTGAGTACTCCCTCCTGCCTGTGGGAGCTGCACCGTGGAGTCTAGCTTGTTATCCTCCAGAGGCAGAGCCCCACCTCCCTGCCTCCTCTTGGTATAGATGGACAGCCATGGTGGCGAAGGCTGCAGAGCTGAGCAGGTGATACTGGGCAGCGACCCTGCTGCGGGCAGGGTCCACACCCCATAGCTCTTTCCTGCATTTATTTAACAAGCGACATTGAGCCAGCAATCTCTGTTGAAAAGTGCTCAGCCCTGGAGACAGAACTGTGAACAACGTGGACACAGCTCCTGCTTTGTGAAGCTTGGTGTCTGGCTGGGGTAAAAATAAACAAGCAGTTACAACACAGTTACGATCCCTACTGTAACGGAGGAGAGATGGCAGCCAAATTTCTGGGCCAGGCTACAGAGAGTTTGGGGGTGTTCAGAGAAAGCCTTCTGCAGGAAGTAATAGCAAAGCTAAGGTTTGAAGGGTGACTAGAGCTCAGTCAGGTAGAAGGCTCAGGACGCTTCCAGAGAGAACAGTACATGTGAGCTCAGAGGTGAAAGCTCCCTCTGGGTGGGGCGAACAGGAGACTTGGGCAGGGTCTGATCTGGGAGAGGCTTGTGAGCCCAGGCAAGGGTTTTGCTTGCTATTCAGGGGCTTTGGGCGTGCCTTTAAAAGTTTTCAGCAAGGAGACAAGATGACTGGTTCTTCCTTTTAGAAAGATCAGAGACAGATGGGGAGCAAGAGAAAAGAGGAGACTGGAGGCCCGTTCAAAGGCTGTCACAATAGATAAAGCACGAGATGATGGTTGAACGGATCAGGAAAGTGATCGTGAGGATGAAGAGAAAGGAGACAGATGTGAGAGATACTTAGGAGGGCAAATCTGTGGGGCATGGTGGGAGGGGGAGGTAGGCATCCAGGACAACACCCAGACTTCTGGTTTGAATAAGGAGTGGGCTTCCCCGAGACCAGCAACACCAGAGGAGTAGCAGGCTTTCGGGAAAGGATAAGAGGCCACCACTGGACAAGGTGAGCATTAAGCACAAGTGAGACATCTATGCAGAGTTGTCTGGGAGGAGCAGGATACAGATCTGGAGTTTAGGACAGATTTTGACTAGAAATACGGATTTTGGAATTACTGGCACATACATGCAACTAAGATATGAACGTGTACTACATGAGAAGAAAAGGTCAAGGAGACAGAGTCTACCCGAGAGGTAGGCAGGCCAAGGGAGAACTCCCAAGGAAGATTCAAGTTGGAACACTCGAGGGGTACGAGGAAATTCAGGAGATCTGACACTCGGGGGGAATTTCAGGCAGGGAGGAGGGTAAATTGTATCTCATGCTGCCTGGAAGTCAAGTAAGGTAAAGATGTAAGAGTCCACTGGGTTAGCAACCAGATAGTGACATTGGTGAGTGTGGTTTCAGAGAAGGGGTGGGGCAGAGGCAGACTGCCTAGAGAGGAGAAATGAGAATGGAAGGGGAAATAGAAATGTGGACAAGGAGACCACACAGGTAAGAAGTTTGGTCCTCAGTCAGGAGCAGTGGCTCACGCCTGTAATCTCAGCACTTTGGGAAGCTGAGGCGGGCGGATCACTTGAGGTCAGGAGTTCAAGACTAGCCTGGCCAACATGACAAAACCCAGTTTCTACTAAAATTACAAAAATTAGCTGGGCGTAGTGGTGCACACCTGTAGTCCCAGCTACTCGGGAGGCTGAGAGAGGAGAATCGCTTGAACCCAGGAGGTGGAGGTTGCAGTGAGCCGAGTTCATGCCACTGCACCCTAGCCTGGGTGCCAGAGTGAGACTCTGTCTTAAAAAAAAAAAAAAAAAAAAAGGGTCAACAGATGATAGATCATAGATGACGGATGGAGGGAGGGAGGGAGGGAGGGATGGAGGGATGGAAGGAAAAAGAGAGAGGGAGACAGAAATAGGGAAATAGGATGGCTGCAGAGTCAGGCTGCTAAGAGGGAGTCACCTGAAATGTGTTCCATGCAGCTAGAAGGGGCCTACAGAGAGGCAGAGAGAGGGGATAAGGGCTGGGGTAGAATCCGAGCAACTGGCAGGAGAGCACTGGCTTCCACTGGATCAGAAGGGAAGGAGGAGAATGCGACAGCAGAAACAGGTGGGTTCATCAGTGTGGGGACAGGAGCTGCGAGAGGAACCTTCTGGTAGCTTCTATTTTTTTTTTTTTTGTGGAGAAGGGAGCAAAGCTAGCTGCTGGTGTTGGGGTTTGAGCAGAGAAGAGCATTGAGATTGCTGCACTGACAGGGACTAGGAAGCATTGGGGCCCTGTTGAGACTGGGGGCAGGGACGTACAGTGCATTGAGAGTGTGAGTGTCCCTGCCCTGCATGACTGATACCCTAGGCCTGGCTGAGAAGCCCAGAAGCTGCCTGGGGGTTCGCCAGGAGGCTGCACGGGGAGGCCAGTGTGGTTTCCACAGCAACAGCCACAGAGCAGGCGCTTGGCACAGGCTTAATGACGGAATGGCGAGAAGAGCAAGCAGTCCAGTGAAGGGGGAAGGATGCTGTGGGGACGCAGAGGCCCCGACGCAGAGTCCTGACCTCGCCTCTGGCTGTGCACCCCAGGGCTGTCCCATCACCTCTCCATGCCTCCATTGCCTCATCTTTAACGTGGAATTCACACCTACCTCGCATGGTTGTGGTGGCAATGAAATGAATATTGTAACTGAAAGTGCTTTGTAAACATAACGTATTGCGGCCCCTGGCATGAGAGCAGGTGTGTAGGTGGCACACAGCAGGCACTTGGTAAACAGTAGCTACTGTTACTCATCGTTACTTGGTGTGGCTGAGAGGAGCCCTGGAGAATGTAGATCTTTGGTATTCAAGGCCATAAACAGGGGGCAGTTGAGGGCTCTGAGAGCCTGTGTTGGCAGTGGACTCTGGCCAATGCCTCACGGTCACAGCTTAGAAGATGTTTGGCATTGGTGTGACCTGGGGTGTGCGATTGCTTCTGAGGCCACCAGTCCTTCCTGGGGTTGCTTGGTCCCGGTCAGTGGACTTGGCTGTGGAGTTCCAGGAGAACCCACAACAGGTCCCTCTCTGCCTCATGCAGAAAAAAATCCAGATGACCCCTCTGTCTTTCTCCATGCCCAGTCTCCCAAGCCCATGGGGAGGGTTCCTGGGGAAGGGACTGGGGGAGAGGGAAACACAAGTGTAGAAGAGTCCAAAAAACTGGACAAGCAGAGGCCAGTTGCCAGTGTCACAGGCCTGGAGATTTTAATGTCCTGCAGGTGGGAGTGACCCTAGGCCAGACAGACACAGACACCAACTAGGCCTTTTTGAATGACATCAGAAGCTCCATCCAATCATGCCTCTTGCTGGTTGAGGGGCAGGGCCTGTCCAGCTACTTCCTCCCCACTTTTTGAGGTGGTTCCTGACCACCCCGCCTCAGGCCATGCATCTAGCTGCTTCGAGGGAGGGAGGCTGCTGTGGTGGGCTAGCCCTTCTCCACCCCAATAACCTCCCCACCCCCATTGGTCATGCCAGCTCTAAGCCCATGCTGATGCTGTGTGGGCATCACAACCTGGGAGGAATAAGGGTCTCCTGGGAGCCCTGGTGCTGGTCAAGGCTGCCCAGGGAGGAACCGAGGTTCAGGCATCCCAGGGAGCTAGCCATGCCCTCTGGGGCCTCTCGTCCTTTCAGTAGCTCTGTTGCCATGACCTCCACTTCCTCTGGTTCCATTTGGCAGGCATCTGCCAGGGCCTGGCCTGTTGCCATGATGAAGTTTGCATCAGCTGCCAAGGTGCCCAGGCCCCCTCGAACCAGAGCCTGCAGGGAGGAGAGGAGGCTGGGTGGGGTCTTCCTGGGGAGCCACCTTTGGGGACCTGCCTGTTGGCCCTACCCTCTCTCCATGCCAGGTCATCACAGGGCCACCGCTCAATGCAGCCACTGCTGTGACCCAGCCCCCGGCTCACCTCTTGGATCAGCAGGGTTGTAGCTGGCGCTGAGCACCTGGAAGTATTCTCCCCGGTGCTCCTGCTGTGGGGTGTCTCCTCGTGCAGAGACCCTGGTGTGGAGCTCCTTCTGTCCTCAGGCATGGGGGACTCCACCCTGGGGCACTGTTCCAAATGCACAAAAGCAAAGACCCCCACGGGGGTGCTGGAGCCCACCAATGAGCAAAATTCCAGATCATCTGAGGGCAGCTCAACCAAGATCCACGGAAAGGGGAGGATGAAGGGATCCCCTCCCTTCTGTACTATTGGACACATTGCTGCCCAGCCTTCCCCCGCCACGGTCCCACTCCAAGTATCAGGCCAGGCAGGGTCTCTGTATGGAGTTTGCTCCCAGGCCTCTGCCCCTGTTACCTGGCAGGGGGCAAGAGGTGCCTGGCCTCTGGGCATTGCCCTCTGGGTCATCAGTCCCTTTAGCTTCTCCACACAAGGTTTGCTGTGGGGTCCTGTGGGCAAGAAGGGGCAAGGATAAGAGGGGCTGCTGACTCCTGCCAGGAGCCACGAGTCAACAGAGGCTTGCTTGGCCGGCTAGCCACACTCTGTGAGCGCTCTGAGATTCTCACGGCTGCAGAAGATGTCTTAGAGGGTAGACACATGATGAGGCCCAGCCAACTCCAGGCCAGGCAGGGCTGCCCCAACTTTACTGGCCCTGGTAGCTCTTCTTGAAGGTTTGGGAGAGGGGATAAGGGCCAGAGCCTCTGGCCAAGCTGGTTCTCTGTGGTCCCTGGGTGTGTGCACATTAATGTGAATGTGTGTTGGGGAACACAGCAGTATCCTTATTGCCACTAGCCCCCAGCCTCCCTGGGGCTCCTACTGTCACAGAGCAGCCTAGATCATACTAGGAGACTTCAATATCATTTGCGGAAGGGCCCCAGAGTCAAGACATCAGTGTGGCCAGGGGCTGCCCTTCCAGGGACCTCGGGCAGTGTGGGGACTCCTGCGCTGGGGATGGTGTAGGGGGCTGGGTGAGTTTCCTGGGAGGCCAGCAGAGGGCCCTTTAGCATGCACGGGCTTTCCCCCTTCCACCCCATTCAGCCACCTAGATGGTGCCCTGCTTCCCCACTTGGACAAGAAGCTGGCCCTGATGGTTTTCCCATTCCAGGGCCCAGATGATTGCCATTGTAACAGGCTCCCAAGCCAGCCCTCCCAGCCAAGTTCCCAGACTCTAAGAAAAGAGTGGGGCTTCCCGGACTCCTCTGGAAGAAGACTCAAGCTTCTTAGATGCACAGAATGCACTGACCCAGGGCCCTGCAGGGTTGGCCAAGGGCTCCTCCTCTGACAGCAGATGTCTCTGTCTCTTCTGGGAACTCCCTTTCATAGTGGACACTGAAATGGAAGCAAGGCTGGGTAAACCAGAGAAGGCTGCTAGCTCTCTTGCCATCCCTGCCTCTCTGTGGCCCCAAACATCCTTTTCCCTTAGAGCCTGTACAAGGCCAACCTAGTATAGTAGCCATGACTCCAGGGCTGACCCTCCCACCAATGTGCCCCAGCCGGCCCTGACTCTCTAGGAGGAAGGAGCCCAGTGCATTCTTGACTCCACTCCTTTGCTCAGTTGCTCCCTCTACCCTTTCTACATTCTGTTCATCTTCCAAGGCCCAGCTGCAGCTTCCCAGCCTTTGGAACCCTGCTTCTCCATCTCGACCACACACAGGATCACCTGAGGAGCTCAAAGGTGAGTGGTGGCTGTGTCCCACACCCAGCATCTGTGGTGAGGCCCAGGCCTTGGGATTTGCAGAAGCTCCCTGGATTATTTAATGTATAGCCAAGGCTGAGAACCATTCTAGGTCTTTCTAGCCCATGGTGATCCATACCCCCTCTGCACTCTCAGGACACTAAATCTCTGTAATTATTTGGTGTTTTTGTTTGTTTGTTTGTTTTGCTTTGTTTTGTTTTGTTTTTTTGAGACAGAGTCTTGTTCTGTCACCCAGACTGGAGTGCAGTGGCACAATCGGCTCACTGCAATCTCCACCTCTTGAGTTCAAGAGATTCTTCTGCCTCAGCCTCCCGAGTAGCTGAGATTTCAGGCATGCACCACCACACCTAATTTTTTGTGTGTTTTTAGTAGAGATGGGATTTCAACATGTTGGTCAGGCTGGTCTTCAGCTCCTGACCTCAAGTGATCCATCTACCTCGGCCTCCCAAAGTGCTGGGACTACAGGCATGAGCCACCACACCCGGCCTCTGTGATTATTTGGTCCCAATCATATCACATAACATATCACCCAATCACAGATTATATTTAGTCTGCAGCCTAAGGTTGGTGAGATGGGAACCACCCAGCACAGTGGGATCTCCTTGGAACCTAAATCCAGTGATGGAACCTTATTGTCCACGGTCTTTTGTGGTATGTGCTACCACCAAAGGTCCTCTCCTAACCTATCATGTGTTCAATACATCTCAGCTCCTAGACTTGCTGAAGCCAACAGAATAAAAGAACTTCTCAGCATCGGGGCCAATACTGACATGACGTGAGGCTTCCCCCTGCTGGCCAAAGAAGCCTGTGCCCTCCAGGTCGGCCTCTTACATTAAGGTTCAGGATGGATTGGGGCACAAAGGCAAGCAAAAGACACCCTACAACTTTGGGGTACCCTCTTCCAATCCAGCCTGGAACCTGCTGACATTGTCCTCCCAGTACCTCTACACCCAGGGATGGCAGTGGCCGCCACTACCTGGAAAACACGTGGCTGTTGCTATGGTTGCTGTTGCCATAGGCAACATTGGCATTGGCATTGTTGGTATTGGCACGAGCCAGGGGGTTGGTGCGTGGATCTTGATGGAAGTCCTCCAAGAAGACCGGTGACTCCAGCTCTTCCATCTCTATCTCAGTAAACTGGAGGGGTCTCTGACTGGCCATGACCGGGGGCAGGGAGTTGGTCCTTTCCAGGAAGTTGTCCACCTGGCCAAACAGGCCTCCAGTCCTCTAGGGGCAAGGAGACAAGCAGTGACTAGGGGATGAGGACAAGGAGGGCATGGGGGGCTGTCACTCTGGGACAGTGGTGTTGGGAACAAGCGATGGTATTGGGAGACAAATCTTATAAGGCCAAAGGAGGATGGACTGAGTGGTGAGATCAAAAGAGGAGAATTCCTACCCTTAGAAAGTTCTTCGTTTGATGGGGTAGACAGCACACACCTAAGGAGGTATATAGGGGACACAGGCACACAGAAGAGAAGTGTGGTGTTGGGGAGAGAGGGCTGAATTGGGAGTCTGCAGCATTGGGTTCTAGTCCCCTCTCTGAAACAGATTTACTAGGTGATATTGGACATATCACATGATCTCTGTGGGCCACCATTTCCTCATGAATAACCCAAAAAGACCTAATTAGGTGTCATTAAAGACCTTCCAGCTCTAAAGTGTTACAAGAAACATCAGACAGCACTGAGGATGGAGGACTGGCCTCAGTGGAGGCAGGCGGGGCATTTGATCCTGGAGGGCCTCTGGGAGATAGGTTGTTGCCTAGGGTTTGTGGGGAGGAAAGGGAAGGGGTGAGATTTGGTAGGGAAAGGCGGGAAAGGGTGTGTTGCATTTGACACCTCTAGTAGGTCAGGTCATTGATTCTGACTTCCAGGAGAGGTGGGTGGTGAGGTGGAGAGACGGAGAGGGATATCTTCAGCTCCCATGTCCCCCTGTCATGTGGCTGGGCTCCTGGCCCTCCTCTCCGTGAGACACTGCCACTTATGGTGTCTAGACCACTAGGGGTGCTCCTGGCTCTCCCTCACCCGGAATATTCCCTCCTCCATTGCAGCCTCCACCATGGCTCTCTCCAGCTCCTCCTCAGCAGCCAGGTCTCCTGAGACCGTGCGACGGATCTCGGGGGCTGCCTCTTCCTCAATGGTCCGCAGCCCTGCCTGGGGATGGCGAAGGGACTCAGTTATCTCTCCAGCCCAGGAGAGGAGACCAGAACCTCTTATTGTTTATTATTTATTTATTTATTTATTTATTTATTTATTTATTTTGAGACAGAGTCTCACTCTGTTGCCCAGGCTGGAGTGCAGTGGCACAATCTGAGCTCACTGCAACCTCCGCCTCCCAGGTTCAAGTGATTCTCCTGCCTCAGCCTCCTGAGTAGCTGGGATTACAGGCATGTGCCACCATGCCCTGCTAATGCTTGTATTTTTAGTACAGATGGGGTTTCATCATGTTGGCCAGGCTGGTCTCGAACTCCTGACCTTGTGATCTGCCCACTTGGCCTCTCAAAGTGCTAGGATTACAGGCATGAGCCACCATACCTGGCTAGAACCACTTCCTGTGGCTTACTTGTTTCTTATCACTGTACCCAGGGCTCTCCTGAAGCCCCAGCCTAGGCCCCACTCTCCCTCTTGGGTTATTGAATGTCTCAGGTACCTGAGAGGCCACCAGGTTCTGCTCTGGCCTCTGGGATAGCCCACACCTTAATTGTTCCCAATGAGTCATCTCTTGACCCCATGGGTGAAAATTTCATGCCCTTCCCAGGCTTCCAGTTTGAGAAGTGTTCTTACTCAGTACAGTCTTCTAGATTAGTGATCTCTATTGATTGCATATGACATATATATATATATATATAGTTGGTCAAAGTTAATATCACCAGTAATGGGACAAGTCAAGACTGGTGTCACCTAATAGCTTGTAATGAGAACATACCATCATTTCTGTGGCATTCTTATCCAAGATGCATATCCTAGTAATCAGACAAACCCCAGTTGAGGGACATACTGACTTGCAGTCTTCAAAAGTGTCAAGGTCATGTCAAGGAAAGACTGAGGAACTCTTCCAGATGGAAGAGATTAAAGAGATATGGCAACTCAATGCACTGTGATTCTGGATTGGATCCTTTTGCTATAAAGGACATTTATTGGGACAGCAAGTGAAATTTGAATGGGGTCTGAGGATTAGAATGTAGTAATGTTCAGCCTGGCATGGTGACTCACGTCTGTAATCCCAGCACTTTGAGAAGCCGAGGCAGGCAGATCACTTGAGGTCAGGAGTTTGAGACCAGCCTGGCCAACATAGCAAAACCCCATCTCTACTAAATATACAAAAAGTAGCCTGGCGTGGTGGTGTGTGCCTGTAATCCTAGCTATTCAGGAAGCTGAGGCATGAGAATGGCTTGAATCCAGGAGGCAGAGGTTGCAGTGAGCCAAGATCTTGCCACTGCACTCCAGCCTGGGCAACAAAGCGAGACTCCATCTCAAAAACAAACAAACAAACAAAACAAAAAAAAGCATCAGTGTTAATTTCCTGATTTTGGTAGTTATGTTGTGGTTACATAGAAGAATTATGCAGGATAATGCCCTTGTAATACACATTTTGCCTTGAATACACATAATGCCTTGAAATACGCATTAAAGTGTTTTTGGATGATGGAACATCGTTTTGGAGTTACTCTCAAATTGTTCAGAAAAAAAAGGTTTTGTGTTATACTTGCAACTTTTTTAAAGTATGATATTATTTCAAAATAAAAATAGCCATTGAAATAAATTTTTGAGCATAGCTCAAATGCATGTGTATTTGGGGAATTTATAAATTATATGCATTACAATGAACATAAAAATAGAAATAAAACCAGAAAAGATAAAACATAAAAGTTCTAACATTTTTTTTTCATACCCAATGGGACTTTTTTTTTAAAATTTATTTATCTTTTGAGATGGAGTCTTACTCTGTCACCCTTGCTGGAGTGCAGTAGTGTAATCTTGCCTCACTGCAACCTCTGCCTCTCAGGTTCCAGTGATCCTCCCACCTCAGCCTCCCAAATAGCTGGGATTACAAGCGTATGCCACAATGCCCAGCTAATTTTTGTAATTTTAGTAATGATGGGGTTCTACCATCTTGCCCAGGCTGGTCTCGAACCCCTGACCTCAAGAGATCTGCCCTTCTCAGCCTCCCAAAGTGCTGGGATTACAGTTGTGAGCCACTGCACCTGGACCCATACCCAGTGGGACATTTTAAGAGCTCTTCGTGGATCACCTTTCTTTAGAGACCGCTGTTCTTTTTTTTTTCTTTCGAGACACAGTCTCACTCTGTCGCCCAGGCTGGGGTTCAGTGTCTCAGTCTCAGCTCACTGTAACCTCCGCTTCCAGGGTCAAGCGATTCTCATGCTTCAGCCTCCTGAGTAGCTGGGCTTACAGGCACATGCCACTACACCCAACTAATTTTTGTATTTTTGGTAGAGATGGGGTTTCGCCATGTTGGCCAGGCTGTTCTTGAACTCCTGACCTCAAGTGATCCACCTGCCTCGGCCTCCCAAAGTGCTGGGATTATAGGCGTGAGACACCGCACCTGACCTAGAGACCACTGTTCGTGTCTAACTTGTTTCTTCTTCGAACAAATCCTATTTTCTTTGGTCCTATCATCCAGAGATGAAGTGCCCCTGGTTCTTTTTTTGAGGTTGAAACATCGTCAATCGTGGACCATCCAGAACTATCTTGACATTTTTTCACTCTTCTGGGCTTCCTTTGTCCTTCTATGTCTCTGTCATTGGCCCCTCAAGGACATGGAAGGATAACTAGAGTCTGGAAACCTGGCTCAGTCAGGGAGCCCCTTGGAACGTACCTGGATTGGGCTTACCTGGATCTGTACAATGTCCTTCTTGGGCCGATAACCATAATACTCCTCCTGGCGCTTCATGAACTTCCGGAAGTGCTCCTGGATAAGGAATGTGGCGTAGAACTTCCCCACTGTCACCTCATCATCTGCAGAGGAGCCAACAAGAGATGTCCTGAAGGCTGGTGGGAACCTGACACTGGTTCAGAGTAGGAGCTAGCTGTAGCCAGGCCCGGGCATGCGAGCAATCCCTTGTCTTGCTGACTTGGTCACTGGGCACTTTCCACCCTGAGGTTAGATGCCTGTGGGCTCTACCTAAGGCATTTATGGAGGGTTTAGTCCATTCTCAGATTCCCATGGGGCTCTTTGGAGAAGCTCCCCAACCCCATTCCTTGGCTGTTTCTGGATTCCAAAGCAGAACCTACCTCCTATTGGAGGGATGACCTGGTCCAAGAGCTTCATGCTGGTTCTCTTCCAGATCTTCTTGATGATGGCCCTCAGCTCCTCATTGGCCTGCTCAAAGTTACCTGGAGCAGGAGAAAGGCAAAGAGGCCAAAAATTATCCAGATCACACCAACTGCACTTGACAAGGCCACCCAGTTCTTTCTGAACCTCTCAGCCAGCCAGTCATTTACTACGAAACATTGGCTGAGTTTTGCGGCAGCTGCCTTGCTGGGTACTGGCAATGGTGGGAGGGCATCACTGTCCCCCTGAGGCAGCCCACCTCTTGGGTCATGTACTTTCTCCCCACAGGCCTTGGCTTCCAGTGCCCAGAGTGGTTGGTTTAACAGGCTGTCATCTCCTGCTCTTCTTCCAAAATCTTTCAATTCCCCAGGCACTGTGGTCTGTCCCAAATACCCCCAGGCAGACTCGCTGTAGCTCTAACCTGCTCCTTCCTGACTCCTGGCCTTCCTCATCTTGCCCTCCTAATGAAGCTTACCCTGAGGTTGTCTCAGAACCCTGCGTGGTCCCCATGTGCGGATGGACCTGATACAACTGGAGAGTTGAGCTTGATACAGTGGGAGCCCTCAGCAAGGGCTGAGAGACAATACTAAGACCCCACCCTGACTCCTTCCCCTGCTCCCACCATGCCTGTCTTCCCAGTAGGTGAGGACCTGCAGGTATAGTGGAGTCGAATGTGGACTCCCGTCAGCCTGCCCAGTGCTGCCTGAGAACCTCCTCTGCTCCTGCTCAGAGCCAAACTACAGGGCACTCCTGACCCCTGTGCTAGCACTGGCCCTCCTCTGGTCCCCAGACACAGCTGAGGAGTGTGGGAACAGACACTTGATGATCTTTGCCCTGCAGAGAACACTCAGACTCCCTCTGAGCCCTGAGGGGCATGAGGACTTTGTGCCCATGACCTAGGGTCTTCCCTCTGCTTCTTCCCACAGTTGAGAGCAATCTTGAGCTCTGAGAATCTGGCAGAATCTGTGCCAGGAACAGCCTCTGGGAGAAAGGAGGGGGCTCACATTGGAAGGCCCTCTCACCTTCCGTCTTGATCTTGAGTGCTGTGCGGACCAGGGCGAAGAGTGTGGCATTGAAGGTGACTGTGCCGTCACTGTTCAGGGGCATGTTCATGCCCACCAGCCGCTGTGCAGGGAGAGGTAGTGGCTTGCTGCTGAGCTGGGACAAGCTTGGCAAGTCATCCTCACCCAGTCTGTGGGCTGGGAGGGGATGGGACATGAGGGCTGGGGGTGTCGGCTGACCAGGACATCCTTTGTGAGGGGACAGAATGATGAGTTGGGTGACATTGTTGAGACTTTAGGTCCTCCAGGAGGAACTTGGGGACCCAGGAGATTCCGGCTCTAAAATGCTTCATTCCATCAGGTCCTCACCAGCTTCCCTGTGTCTCGGTGACTCTTCCCCTCCCTGGGGCCACCCATCCCTGGCAGCTCTGGTTACCTTACAAGCTACGCGATGTGGGCAGAACTTCCCAAAGCCCAGAGGGGGCTGAATCCTTCTCAGCAGGGTCACCACGTCCAGGTGTTTGATCCTCCCCCTGCAGGAGGACACACAGACTTATGTACCTGGTACCCTCCTCCGCTGCCAGAACCTTTCTGCTCAGAGGATGGGCAAAGGGAAAGACAGCCAGGAAACAGGGGAGCATTTCCTTATTTTCCAACTGTGTTTAGGAAGTGGGAGCCCAGTTCCCTTTTAAAAGAAGAGACAATGTTAGGATTAACGGTTGTCTACAAAATGGGTACCCCAAAATTTGGGGTGTTCCCTCGGATATCGGATCTCCAGGTCTGGAATCCAGCCCTCATTTTCCCCATCAGGACCTTTCTTAGGTTTTGGTCAAGTTAATAGGGCCTCTTGGGCTGTATTAATAGAAGGAGAGGGTATAGATCAAGGGAGGTGGAAGCCCACTTCCAGAGACTGGTCCAGAGCTGGAAACCACATTTTCACTGGCACCGTGACTCCCAGAATAGACATAAAACAGAACAACCAGGGAGGTCAGAAAACAGAACAACCAGGGAGGTCAGATCGAAAGACAAGCATGGCAAGAGCAGCTTGTGAGTGTTGCCTGAGAAAAATCATTTTGGAAGGTCCTACTGGCTTCCTCTTTTCTTTGATGGGGTGGGGGGCCTGTGAAAAAGAGATGAAAGATTCCCCGCCTGTCTCCAGAGGGCTGAGTGAGGACTTGTGGGTGACTGGTAGAGGCAAGTAGGTTTGGCTCCTGCTGATGGAGGCACTTTAAAGCATGGTTGCTATGGCACCAGACAGACCTGCGTTGAATCTTGGCACCATCTCTTACTAGCTGCATGGCCTGGGGCAATTTACTTAACCTCTCTGAACCTCAGTTTCCTCATCTGAGACAGACCATTGGGAGATGCATATTTCCTATTGGGAAGGAAAGTAAGAGAGCCGTGCTCTCCAAGCTTTAAAGTGCATACGAATGTCCCGAGGCTCACGTTCAGAGCAATGCAAGAGTCTGACTCAGTCAGTCTGGGAGGGGTCTGGGACTCTGCATTTTAATCAAGCTCCAATTCTGCTGGTCCGAGGACCACACTTTGATTTGGGGTCTAGAGTGTCTGATGAGGTATAGAGCTTCCTACTCCTAGGAGTGTTCAGGCAGGAGCTGGATGACCATTTCTCAATAAAGTCAAGGGTGTTTCCATCCTGGGAAGCTGTAGGATTCCTTCCAACCTGGAGAGACTCTGATTCTCTGGTCTGAGACCTTGGATAAATGAAGGGGGAAGGAGAAGCCCACTCATACTGAATAAACTGGTGAGTGACTCCCTGTGAGACGCTAGGAAGGGTCTAGTATGGAGGGCCCAGCACAGAGCCTACAGACTGGACTCACTTAGCCTCCGGGTCATACTCTGCCCAGATGGCCTTGAACTCATCCAGGTGATGAGGGCCCAGGATGGACCAGTCCCGGGTGAGGTAGTCAAAATTGTCCATGATGACAGCCACAAAGAGGTTGATGACCTGCAAGAGAAGAACCAAGGAGTCCCAACACAGAAAGGCAGGTGGTCCAGGGTTAGGGTGGGGGAGCCGGGAGGTGTCCACTGGCCTACAACTTCTCACTACCTGTGCTCTTGGTTCTAGCCCTTCTGAACCACCCACATGGCACACACAGCAATGCTCCGTCATGTCTCTGTGCTCTTGCACAGACAGTGCCCTCTGGCCTTGCTAAATCCCTTTTGATGAGTGCTAACCCAAGCAAGAAAAAAAGTAAGAACTTTTGGCAACCTCTCTAGAGTGTGAAAAAGCACCCAGGAAACAAAGCCACACTCAGGATGACCAGAACCAGGGACAAGCTAACTAGAGCTTCCTGTGTCCCCGAGATGAATCCCAGGAGAGGTGGAAGTTGGCCAGGAAGGGGCAAATAGGCTCCCCCATGCCTCAGTGCATCAAAGCCCTCTCCCCATCCCGCAGGCCTGCAGTGTCTCACCAGGAAGGCGCAGAGCATGTAGAAGCTGATGAAGTAGTAGTATGCAAAGTTGGTGCCACATGTGTACTCCTCCCCTGGGGCGTAGTCCGACTCTGGGTCACACAGCTTCCCATAGCTGCAGGCCAGTAGGATCTCCTGCCAGGCCTCACCTGTTGCACACCTAGAGGACAGAAGAGGCTCCTGTCACCTATCTGCTCTTGCCTGGCCCCGCAGGAGGCTGGCAGCCAGGTGGGAGCAGGGCGTGGACAGATGAGCAAAATGGGGCTGTTGCCCAAAGGTAGGGAGGTCCAATCTTCATGTTCACCATGTAGCTCAGTGTGAGCTGGGCCTGTTTCCCCTCTGTGCTGCAGCCCTCACGGAGTGTTACAAGCAGGAGCCAAACTTTAGAGAAGAGGGCAAAGTCAATCTATGATTCAAGTTACTAGAGGGATGCACTGTTCTGACCAAAGCAAGGCAGGGTCAGATGTCACGGAGGCCTCAAAGAGGTTAACTGACTGCACTCTCTGAGGTAACCCCACAGTTGAACCCAACTGGCTGAATTCAACTGCCACCCACTCTAACTGAGTCACAAAAGCAGGCTTAGATTTCACACCTTGTGGATGTGTTGCTATCGAGTGAAGAATCTCAATGCATCCGAGGTGCATATGCATGACATGTTTGCATTTTTCCCGTAACTGCTACCACTTGCTCTGTAGATAACCTCCCTCCAGCTGGGAAGAAGTGTCTCCCCTAGTCACATTCAGCCAGACTGCATAACTTCCCACGCCTTTGTGTCTAATGACTGTCTCACTTCAGCTAGCTCTCTTCCTTCCTGGAGCAGGCAGTGCAGGGTGGCCTCGGGTGTGGAGTTGAGTGCAGAGCCAGGGGCGAGGTGGGAATCTCCGCCTGAACACAGTGAGGTGGCGGTCTCCTTTTCACAGGCCATAAGGGCTGCAGGCTGCTGTGACCTCATGGAGCCTTCGACAGGCTGTGCCAAGAAGGGGCCGTGGGTGTGGGTGTCCCTAGGCCTTGTCTGGTCTCAGTGGAGCATTCCACTGTGGGCCAGGAAGCTCACCTCTCTCACCTGGCTCCTGCACACCCAGCAGGCCTGCAGCCCAGGATCCTCGGTTGCAATCCACGCTCTAGCTCCTGTGCCCTGGCGAAGCATAGGCCCCTGCGCCCTACCTGTGGCAGCGCCCCCAACCCCATCTGGTTCTTTGCTCTGCCTTTCCCTGCATTCCTGCTCATGCTCCGGGAGCGACAAGGGCAAATGTCCAGGAGAAGATATTTCACCCTGTCTTTTGCTTCACGGGGATGAGATGGGAGGAGAACGCAGCACTTCACTCAGTGGAGGACCCAGTGCAAAACAAGGCTGTGGGGCCACTTGTTCAAAAACAATGAATATCTTCAAGACAGTGACAGCAGAGCATGCAACCAAGCAGGGGACCCTTCTGAGTGTAGGGCCCGGTGTGGCTGCACAGGTCACACACCCATGAAGCCAGCCCTGGCTCTAGTGCAGATTACAACAGAGCAGAGGCTGACTGGTCAGTGGGGTGGGGGTGGGGGCGGTGGGAGACACGTGCCTGAAGAGCAGCAGCACAGCTTGTGGGAAGGTCTGGAAGTTGTTGTTCCGGTTTATTTGGGTCCCATCCACCAAGGCGATCTTCCCAAACATCTGCAAGTCACAAAGGGCCCTGACTGTGGAACCTAGATTCAAGTATCCCCTCAGCTTATACCCCACTGCGTTCTCTTGCCTGACCCCCACTTTTGCCCCTACTTCCCCAAAATTCCGTTCATTACAGGCCACGTCAGACCTGAAGCCAAAAAAATGGGATTATTTTCTAGGTCAGGTAAAGTTCTTCCCAGCAAGCCAAAGAAAAGTAGGAGGGTAGCCCCGTTTTCCCAGCAGCAAGCAGACCTGGCGAGTCAATGTGTGGGGGAAGGGCTCTCAGGGGAGGGTAGACAGAGGCCACCCAGGCCTCTAGTCGGGCCTTAGAGACACAGCTTGGCCCCTGCTCTCCACCCACATGCCCAGGTTTCTCCTGGATGGCATCCAAGCATCTGATACTCCAGCCATCCACGATCAGGGAGGTTGCCCCTCCTTCTTTCTCACGAGCAAGGCAGGGAGGGCAGAGGGTCCAGCCCGTGTGCTGCTCAGGCTCCTCAGGGTCCACTGACGCCCCCTCTAACCTGGCCAAGATTCACGCTTTGGCCTGGGCCCGCCTGCCTCTCACCTGCATGCCGATGACAGCGTAGATGAAGAAGAGCATGACGATGAGCAGAGCCACATAGGGTAGGGCCTGCAGGGCGGGCGGGAGCACCAGTCAGTGTCTTAGGGCTCCACTGTGTGTCTGCAGCCCTGCCCTCTGTTAGCTCCCCAGGCTTTGCCCTGCCCCGGGCTCCCCTGGGGCCCACCCTGGGCTGAGGCAGATGTCCCTAGTGGCCTCCCCAGGTACGTGCAGTTTCCAGGGTCCCTGTTGCACCTGGAAGGACTTGATGAACGTCCACAGGAGGGTGCGCACTCCCTCTGCCCGGCTCAGCAGCTTGATCAGCCTCATGACACGGAACAGGCGGAAGAAGGCACTGGAGATGCGGGCACTCTCGTCTGGGTCCTGTGGGGCAGCAGCCCCAGAGGTCAGTCTGGGGGCAGCACCTCAGAGGCGTAAGGGGCAGGGTGGGGAGGGAGGTGCACTGTGTGTGTTGGGGAGATGTTTGTGGAAGGCTCCAGCCCCACCTCTGGCCCCTGCTGTCCACTAGTTCGGGACCATCCTCGGGCGCAGGGCTCTGGGGCTGTTCAGCTGGGAGGCAGGGAAGAGGACGTGGGGCACCAGGCAGTGTGGTGAAGCCCACACTTGGGAGCAGTGGCAGGGATTTGCCCCGGGATGTGGCTGCACCCAGGCGCACTGCCTGCCCTCTCCGACCTCCTGCACATCTCACTATCTTCTCAAGCTGCCACGGAGTCAAGGACCCTGCTGGCCCTCCTAGGGCCCCTCCCCGGCATCCTCCCAGTGCAAAGATTTCCCAAAGCTTGGCTGCTCTATTGCCATAAACTCAATGTGGCTACTCCCCATCACTCCCACCCCACACGCGGCTGTTCTAAGCCAGGCAAGCCTCTAATCTTGTGCCAGCCTTAGACACACGAATTACTCTGGAAGGGGAGAGCTGTCCCTGCTCTGCTTCCTGTGTCCTCAAAGGCCTTGTGCCCAATGAACTGTCACTAAGGTCCTTTGCCAGCGGTCACAGTTCTCTCTGGACTGTGTTTCCATCTACATAGATGATGCCAGAGAGAACCCACACTCCATCTCCCAGGGCTCTGAGGAAGCCGCTATATCCATGCACACTTGACTGCAGAGCCTCTGCCCCCACCCGAGCCTAGCCTGGGTCCTCAGCGGGGCCTGCCCTGGGGAGGGAGCCCTGAGTGCTGATCCACCCCATGCAATCCACGCAGCCAGGCCCATGCATGCAAGTGGCAGGGCAGGAGCTGGTGAGCGTGCCGGGCAGGCTCGTGCAGCCTGAAATTACAACGTTCCCGCAGCCTCCACCCAGGCAATACAGTCCCCCGCTGGAGGCCAGGAAAGTCTGTGGAGAAAAGAGACGAGGGGAGGGGAAGGAGAGGAGAGAGAGGAGGAGGGACACGTGGGAGGGAGGTGAAGAGACGTGTCAGAAAGGACAGACACACAGAAGAGTTAAAGAGAAAAAGACAGAGGCAGGGGCTAAAGACCCCACGTGGCTGTCAATCAGGGGCGGGGTGGGTGGGAGTGAGGACTGAAGCTCTGTGGGAACTGTGAGGCAAGAGGCAGGGGACGAGAAAATAAGAAGGGGAGGGAAGGCTGGACACAGACAGGTCCCTTCTCATTTCGGAAATGCAGCTACCGGTGGCAAGGGTTTGGGTTTTTCTTATGTGTTTGGGTTATGTGATGCTGGGGATGTCCCTAACAAGGGCGCGTTGGAAAATGTCTGCTCATTGTAAATGGATTCACATCTGTAGTGCCCTGAGGCCAGGGTCCAGGCCCCTGTGGAAGTCCCATCTCCCAGGGGCACACTCCTCCGGGGGAGTCTGAGATCCCCACAGCAGATGTTTCTCTGCCCCGGACTGGAACTGGGACCAAGGCTGCTATCTCAGTAGTTAGGCTCTTGAAGAGCAGGTGGGGAGGTGTGTGGGAGCAATTTCTTCCTATTTATTCCCTTGGGTCACACTTCATGTGACACCCTTGTTCTGGAGCCCTGGGTCAAAAGAAGTCATTGTTTCATCTTCCAATTATCCACAGGTAGACTGATCCCTGGCATAATGGTCTTCCTATTAAACAACACTGTTTGGGGTAGATTTTCCCTGGACTACTGGTTCTCAACCCTGGATGCATGTCAGAATCACCTGAAGAACTCAAAAAATTCACATATCTTCGCTGGGTCTCCACTTAGGTCAATTAAGTCAGCTTCTAGGGGATGGGACCTGGCTTCAGAAGTTTAAATACACCCCAGGTGATTCTCATATGTAAGCAAGGATGATGACCAGTGTTCTATACCTGTGCTATCCAATATGGTAGCCACTAGTCACATGTGACTATTTGAATTACAATGAAAATTGAATAAAACCAGAAATCGGTTCCTCAGTTCCTCTAGCCACCTTTCCAGTGACAAGTAGACATGTGTGGCTAGAGGCTACTCTATTGGACAGGGCAGACCATTTCTGTCCTTGCAGAAAGTTCTAACCAATGTGCTCCCCTAGCCCTTTCCCTGGTTTGTACATCAGGTGTGTAAATCAACCTTCACGTGACTTTAAGCAGACACTACTGGTAAGGGACATCTGCTAAAAATCAAATAAAAACCAGTGACACCCTCCTGGCCTCCACCACCAAAGACACCGTTTTGATATATCCAGGCTTCCCCTACACAGACCTCAAATTTTAACAAGTAACTATTTTTAGCTTGGGCTGTTTATTTTGGCTGTTTAGATTTCTCTGCTCTGGCTGTGCTGGTGAGAAGTGCTGCTGTCAAACCATGGAGCCTTTTGGGATACTATTTCCCAGCAAAAACTGAGTGTGGATGGAAATACACAACACACACACAGAGACTCACACACACACACACGCGTGTGCGCATTGGTTTTGCTCAGAGCCCACCCTGGCCCTCGCTAGCTCAGCGCCCCCAGGGGATCTGAGCAGATGGGGTTGTCTGTCACTGTTCTGTGCATGGAGAGTGAACAGGGTTCCCACCCTGGTCCTCCCCTAGCACATCAGACAGCTGGTGTGACAGCCAAGTCCCCACTCCCTGCCAGAGCTCAGCCTCAGCTGAGGGCTCCTTCCTCAGAGACTCCAGACTTTTCCTCAGCTGTTCCTCTCACCCACACCCCACCTCAGGCATCTCCAGTGCTCATCTTTCCACCCCTATCCCCAACTCACCCTAAGGTTCACCCCACAGGCCGGCACAGCCTAAGGGCTTTCCGTTGAGCAGTGGGCAGTTCAGAAGAAAGCCCTATGCATGGCTGAGCCCCTAGCTTTAGGGCCAGTCCCCTGCTGGGATCCCTCATGGCCAGATCAGCCAGCTTTCTGACATCCCACCCTGGCTCAGAAAGAAGAATGCTCATCTTTTCTCTCTTCCACTGTGTCCCTCCTAGGATGCCACTTGGGCAACTGTTTTTTGATTTTGGCCTCTGACTCTTGGATAGTCTCCGCCCTCCATCGTTGCAGCAACCTGCAGCTGCAGACCCTCGGCAAGGCAGCCTCTGGAGGGTTCCACTTCTAAGACCTTGAATGTGGACCTCTCCGGCTGGAACTGCCTCCCTGCTCCTTTCATCCCCCTCACAAGGCAGGTCCTACTGCTGTTTCTCATTCCACCGCCAAGGCCTCATCCCCTTGGTCCAGATCCTGGGAGCCTTCCTATCAGCTCAACCTTCAAAATAGATCCAGACATGGATCCCTTCTCACGGTCTCCACAGCCAGCCCCAGCCCCCATCGCCTCTCACTTGGATCACTGTGGGAACCGCCTGACTGCTCTCACTGGCTCAGCCCTCGTGTCCCCTGCAGTTTAGCTTGTTCACAACACAGCAGCCACAGTGATTGTTTTAGAACTAAAGTCTGTTCTCACTTAAACCCTCCAAAGGGCTCTCGTCTCCCTCAGAATAAAATCCAAGATTGTAACCGTGGCCTTCAAGGGCCTAGATGATTTGGCCCCTGCCTTCTCTCTCCTACCTCATCTCCACCACTCTCTCACCTCATCTCCACCACTCTCTCCTCCAGCTACAAGGGCCTCCTGCTCTTCCTCCAACTCAGCAAGTACCATCCTGCTGCAGGGCCTTTG